AAGAAGTTTGTTGTTTAATCGACGCGTACACATTAATCATTTATCCCATTGGTTTTTTTTTTTGGTAGGACAGACGCGAATTGATTGATTTTTTTTTTTTTTGGAAAAACAAAAAACAATTTATTTTTTGACAGTCCAAGGTGACAAAACGTGAGTGTAGTTGTTTGGTTTGGTTTGGGTCTCCTAAAGAGTACGTGTTAATGACTAACCAGAGGTACTATTTTTTATTTGTATTGATATATATGAGGTGTCTTTTATTTTTATAAATATTTTAATTGGAATCAAAACGCGGAACAGATCTTGCTGGGTAATTACAAGATTTTCATTGATAATAATAATATTTTGCTTTGCGTAATCGTAATAATACTATTATTAATATATAATTACAAGATGTCAAGGCAGCATTGACTGTTGAAAAAGAAATAATTCAAATATGCGATGTTTGATTATCGAAAATTGGCAGGTGTTGAAGTACGCACGCTACCTTGAACACTTTACAGTCATTCTCACATCTTCCTCATGTACACAAGGCTAATCTGACCACGGTGCTCCAGATGATACAACGATGCTACTGAATTTTCAGGGGGGGGCGCAAAGCTCTGGAGTTTACCAAGACTGCATCAATCGTCAATGACACTTTCACTAATCTTCCCAGACCGAGAAGGCAGCCGGCATGCTAGCCAAAAAGTCGCCTGCAATGATCCCACCTCTAGGGTAAGGATGGCTCTGTGACCAAATCGTCACAACTCTGGAGGAATATTAAGAGAATCTGCATCTCGTTTCAAGCACAGGAGGTCACAATCCAGAGCAGGGTTTGTGGCCCTGAAATTTCATTGGGCTCTGATGTTAAGAGGAAAGTTGTAGAATAGTGTTTTTTTGTATAATCATTTTCCTAAATTCTCTGTTTCTCTGATTCTAACCAATTTAATAATTTTGGGATGGGTTTCTTCCCAATCAGTCCCCCTGTCCTGTAGATTAAAATTATCACATGATTATATACATCTTTGTCAGCAATATGGCCAACAAGAAAAAGTCATAAAATGGTTTGGATTTTGGTATGTTATGTTATAAATTAATCATTTTCATAAATTTTCTGTTTCTCTTTAATTTTTGTTGACCAACTGAACTTGTTATTTAAATCAACTTTATTCTAGTGAGAGAGGGTGATAACACAAAGCAAGCACCAGCTATCAGTGATTAATGCCCATATGGTAACAGTCAAGCCTGGTCTGAGGGGAAGATAGGGAATGTTTTGTCCAAAGCCTTCCAACATGTGTGAAACCTCCCTGTGGAAAAAAATTCCATGGTTATAGGCGTGTTAAGAGCACCGCATTGCATGTTTGTGATAGGAAAATTTAATTAAATCTGACACCTATGATCAACATCAGATTTATTACTCATGAGCAACTATAATTGTAATCAGGAAAAGTAATTTATTATTGTGAACCCAGAGATCTGGGTAGACATGCATTATTAAAATTTTGTTTATGCATGGCCTTGGTATCATTACTATCTGGGTGATGCAATTGTTTGTTATATCAATGATGATATCAAATGTATTGAATAATAATCATGACCATCATATTTGATGGATGGAGGCATTCACATACAAGGAAATGAAGGAAATGATTAAATAACCAAGTCATGTTTGTTTTGTTAAAAACATGATCAATTATATTTAAAATATACAATAAAACAATTGCAAGACTGCACCACTATGTTAATCAAGATATCAAGCTGTTATATTTGTGCATGATTTAAAATTCTTTTGTGCAATTTCAGGGCCACCAACCCTGCTCTGAATTGTGACCTCCTGTGCTTGAAATGAGCTGCAGATTCTCATTACTTTGATGGATCTGGATGTTTACATGGCACTACAATTCATCAACAGAGTTGTGACTTGGTCACAGAGCCATCCTTACCCTAGAGGTAGGATCATTGCAGTAAAATTTTTGGCTAACATGGCAGCCTTCTCTGGTCTGAGGGAAGATTAGTGAAAGCATCATTGACAATTGATGCAGTCTTGATAAACTTCCAGGGCCATGCGCCTCCCCCTGGTATTGAAGGCATCATCATATCCATAGGGCAGAGCAGATCAGATTAGCCTTGTGTACACAAGGAATGTGTGAGAATGACTGTAAAGTGTTCAAGGTAGCATGCATGCTTCAATGCCTGCCAATTTCTGATAATCAAACATTGCATATCGAAATGTTTCATACTGGAACTTTTTGTTCTTTGATTGTTTCTT